GAGGAACCCCAAGAAAGGGATCCCAGGAAAGCCTTGTGCAGGTCCTCACACACACCAGTGTTGGGATTGCACTTGAAGTCATTATGAAGCAACGCTGTCTGGAAAGTGAGACTGGACTAAAGCCAGACTTGTGACCAAAGGCCTTTGCTTCAACATCCCAAAGCACCTGTTTGTCTGAGAAAAGATGTCCTGCCTGATTCCCTGCAGCCTCCAGCCATCCCAGCAGGAAGGAGTGAGTCCTCATTTCCAGGAAGGGGTCCACTCCTCACAGGTGTATGTAAAGTAAAATAAAAATGCACCAACTTCCCAGGCCAGGCTCAGCCACTGTTGGATGAGGAGTTACCTTGCTGAGCATCTCATGAGGGTGCTGAGGGGCAGGGGCTCCCTGGCTCCCAAACCCCAAGGTCAGACTCTGCTGCCCTGCCCTGCACAAATGGAGAAGCATTTGCACAAGCCTAAGTGCTTGTATGGACCACAGCCCACGTGGACTGAGGGGCTTGAGTGGCACACATGGCACTTTTCTTCTTCCTTTTTGTTGGTGGGATTTTTTTGTTTGTTTGTTTGTTTGGGTCTTTTGGGTGTTTTTTTTTTTTTGCCCTGATGGTGCCCTTTGAGATATAAGTGCACAGTGGTGACCGAGGACAAGTTGGTTTTATGAATAAAACCAGAACAGTTTTATTCATAAAACCATCTCATCCTCCACTCAGTTTGGTGATGGGAGAACACACTGAACTGCCTTACTTGCTATGTTCAGCTACTACTTTGCTCTACTTAATTTTTCTTCCCAGAGGAAGCATCTCTCCCTCCAACAGCTCCTTACTCCAGCACCTCTGAGGCACACAAGGCTCCAACACAAGCCAAGCATCAGAATCCTGCTCCCAGTCTGGGTTTGGAGGGTCTGGACAGCAGCAGGGCCACCAAGGAATGTGGAGGTGTGCTCAGCATCACCTGGAGACTTTGATGGTCCAAGCCTGTCACAGCCACAAGGCAGGCAGGGCAGATGGAATCTCAGAAATTGGGATTTGCTGGTGCTCCCTAGGGAAGCAGCTGCCCTGGGAGCTGACAGCAGCCAGCAGTGCTGTGGAGAAGATGCTCCATCTCCCACTGAGCTGGCCAGCACAGAGAAATTAAAATAGTGCTGATCAAAACCACCCACTCTCTAGAATTTCCCCTTCCAGAAAATACTAACAGAAAAAACCCAATTCATAGCAAAAAACCAACCCCCTTAAAAAAAAAAAAAAAAAAAAAGAAAAAAAGAAAAAAAGGCCATTTGTGGTGAAGGAGGCTGTGTCCAGCAGTCATGGCCAGGCTCTGGCTGTCATTCCTGACTCAATCCTTGCTATAACTGGAATTCAAAACCAAATAATTTCATCGCCACTGGATTTTATTTCACTTCCTGCTCCCATGGCTGTCTCTCCTGGCTGGACCAAAGGCTTGTGAGGTGGGAACTGGCTCTGCCTGAGAGAATCTCCTATTGCTACTGTGGCCAGCCTCCACTTGGGCTGGGAGTTGGACTCAATGATCCTCATGGGTCCCTTCCAGCTCAGGATGCTCTGGATTCTGGATTCTCTCAGGATTCTGTGACTCTGTGGCAGGGATGCTTCTGTCATTGGCAGCCAAATGAGGCACAACACACACTCGAAAGCCAAACACAGCTCCCGACACCTTCCCCTGCTGCAGCCCGTGTGCCTGGTCAGCATCACCTCACTGTGCCATCAGTGCGGGGTCAGAAACCCTCCCTTTAGCTGTGCCCTGAGCATGGAGCTGGTGCTTCCAGGCTGCTCAGACAGCTCAGTCTGTGCCCGGGCAGCGGCAACACGGCGGCTCCGGTGGGGTTTGAAATGCAGAACTCGCCCCGCTCTGTGGTGCCGCACTCACAGCGCCCTCGCCCCTCGACCGCTGCCTCCCCGTGTGCGCTGAGCTCTGTTGGTGCTCAGGAGCAGCAAAGCCCAGTAGCCTTTCCTGCCTCCCCAGCTCTCCTGGGCGATGCTCCGGCAGGAGATGCGGTGGGCACAGCCCGGGGTCAGCCATGCATCAGAGGATGCTGCTCAAGCTCGGCTCCTTGCTTCAGAAAGCCGCTCAGAGGAGCAGCAGCTCCTCGCGTGTGTGTGCTGGTGCCATGGCAGGGCAGGTCAGAACGAGAGGGAATCGCTGCTCACGCACCAGCAGCTGGAGATACAGCCCCCTCGGGCACGGGCAATCCTCTCACCCATCGGAGGCAGAGGGATTTGGGATCCCCGCGATGCTGACCGCCTCCCCACACGCAGGGGGCTGCCCCAGCCTGTGTGCCCTGTCCTCAGGCTGCCGAGGGGAATGTGGCACACGGTCTGCTGGCAGACTCGCCATCCTTTTCAATTACGTGCAGCCCAATTCCCACCGTGAGGAGGGGAGCCAGGAGGAAATGCCACCAAAGGCAGCAGAGTCATTCACGCTGCACAGTCTGGAGGGAGCAGGAGGGGCTCAGCCTGGCCTGCACACATCAGCCAGCTCTCCACTATCTGCCCCGTGCCTGCTTAATCCTCATTTAAATTTATGGCATCCGTTCCCAAACTAGCAGAATGTGTTTATAATTAATAAGAGGGACGTGGGGAGATGTGTCCTTTTTTCCTTCTTTAAAGCCAAACATCAGACAGAGCTCCAGCCTCTGCTCCCTGTGATAAAATCCTGCTCCAAAACCTGGTCCCAGCTGCCAGCCTAGAGCCAAACCACGGGGCCTTGACCCCAGCAAACATCACAGCACACAGAACTGATTTAAACTTTAAAGCCTGAATGGTTCCTGGGCTTGGAGCCCTCAGCCCAGCTCAGCCCACTCACAGAGGTGGACAGCAGCACTGCACACTCTGGGATGCAGGCAACACCCAGGCAGCTCAGTGTGCTCCCCCATCACCAAACTGAGTGGGGAACAAGGTGGTTTTATGAACAAAACTGTTCTGGTGTGTCTGGGTCAAGCACCTGTCTGGGTCACCACTGTGCACTTACATCTCAAAGGGCATCATCAGGGCAAAAAAAAAAAACCAAACCAAAAACCCCAAACCAAACCAAAAAACCAAAACCAACCAAGCAAACAAAAAAAAACCCCAAAACTTTGTCAGCCACCAGCCCAGGGAATGGATGCTGCAGGGCTGTTCGTGCTGTCCTAATTCTCACAGAGAGGAATGAGCCCCCTTTCACTGCCTGTCCTCACCTTAGGACAGCACACAAGGGCAGATCAGGATATCCAGCAGCCCCCTAGGATTTCCATTCCAGCACATCTGCTACACCTGGAGACGAGGCCATGCCCCAAGCCCATGGGAAGTCACCATGGGCTTGGGGCATGGCCACGTCTGTAATGTGGCATGGGGGGCAATCAAGGAAGATAAACAGCTCTGTGAATGTCCTAGGCCCTGTAACAGCAGAGGACTTATTTCAGAAAAGTGTAAGACCTGTGAGGCCTCCAGGCACCAGAAGAAAGCCAAACAAATCCCTGTGCTCCCCTTTGGCTGAGCAGGGAAATTGCTCCCTGTGCCCAGATGTGGTTCCAGCTGTGGCCACCCTCCAGCAACTCAGAGAGAGCCAGGAGCACCACCAAACCCAAATGAGGCACCAAGGGAGGTGAGGGCTCCTCTCTGGACTCTGCAGGGGACAGAGACACCCTGAATGGGGGAGTAACACTCAGCAAAGACAGCACAAAGATCAATCCAGCCTTGCCTCAGCACACCAGAGACCCAAGGACTCTCCCCTCTGGAAAGGCTCTGAATGAATAATCCTCCCCATGAATATTGAGAGCTATCTTGAAACAGTGGCTGTCTCTTCCCACCCACCAGCCCTTTTGAAGGCCACTCCAGAAGGATATCTTTCAAGCATCAAAAATTGCTTTTAAAATCCCATCTAAATTTATTTATGGCCAGCTTATCACACAGGGCTGCACCTCTCCTGGCCAGAGCCCTCACAAAAGCCAATGCATTAACAACTGGATGTCTTTTAAAGCCTACTGGGGTTACACCTAATCCCACTTACTGCAGAAAGTCTGGGATTCAGCCAAAGGATTTGCCCTGTCCTGAAGGGGAACCTTTGCTAGGACACCCAGCCCCCTCCTTCCTCTTGGGAGGAGCAGGGAGGGAGAATGACTGGATATCTTACAGCCTGCTTTAATGCCAAAAAAGAGGCATTTGTAGACTTTGTGGCTGAAACACCATCAATTTTTATTCCTCCTGCACCGAGGCTATTTTGGGTTTGTCTGCCACGGACACCACGCCAGCAGACCTGGCCCTTCCTGTGGGGAGAGGCTGCTGCCAAGCAAGGAGGAGCAAACCTGGGCTGGGAAAAGGTCCCTGCTACCTGCAGGATGGCCTGGCTGCCCTCCCAGCCCAGCCCACAGGGGTTATGGATGTTCCTTAAGCTCCCTCCTGCTTCCTAAGTGATTCCCAACTCCCACTGCATCTCAGCAGGGACCATTAAGCTTCTGAGATCTCTTGGAAAGCTAAATAAAAAATCAGAGCCTATCAAGAGATTTGCAGCCAGCAGTGGAAGGAAATGCTGTCCATCCCCAGGAGGGGGTGGAAAAGCAGAGTCCAGCCTGTGGGACCTGCTGGATACACACAGAGTGTCAGGGTGCCTGGGGACCTGGCCTTCACCACAGCCAAACAGCTCACCTGCACCATCTCTCATAAGGACACAGGAATGCAGAGGGTCCTTCCACTCCCAGTAAAAGTTTGGGATTTAGATGCTCAGTGATATGGTTGAAACAATTTCCTTGATCTTTTATTGCCCTGGTAAATAATTTATTGGGACAGGCATTTTAAAAAATCCCATAAAAGACCTATAAAACATATTTATCACACAAAAAAACCCCTGCTCCTTGGCTCCAACCAACAAGCTGAAAACTTGTTTGTATACTTCACTGCACATAAACTAACCAATGCCTTGTGACAGCTTTAAGCTTTTTAACAGCTCTCTCCCTGCTGCTTTTTATTTCCATTTTTCTCTCTGTGAATTCACAAGGTAAAAAAAGAAGAACCCACCATGACAGGAGAGGCTTCTGCTGTCTTCCCAGTTTTCCTGACAGCTGGAAAATTTAACAAATGATGCTTCTTCTGGCTGAAAAGCACAAAGTTGTGGTTACTCAGAGTACTTTGGGCCCTAGGGGTTGGCAGATGTACACAGAGGAGTGGATGTGTGTGTGAGTGAGGTGCCAGTGGCTCTTTGAGCCTCAGTTTCCCTCCTGAGATCAGGAGTACTCGTGCTGGCAGAGGGCAGGGTCCCTTTTCTGTCCAAGCCTTGCATAAATGGAGAACTCAAACAAAAGGCTGAGGAATGAGCTCTCCCACCCCAAACACGCAGCAGCCACAGGCACCAAAAGCTTTTTGGCATTCCCTTGGACAGCAGAGGATCCAGCTGGATGAAGCCTGGCCAGCAGGATGAGAGCTCAGCCTGCTGCCAAAGCAAAAAACTGGAGCCCAGACCACATTGATTGCTGCAGGCAGGATTCCTGGTGCCAGGCAGGATTCCTGGTGCCAGGCAGCAGCACAGACCCAAAGGCAGAGCTCCCACATCCCCTGCCTGGTGCCCACAGAGCCAGACCTCACCCAGGACAGCCCTGCCCAGCACAATGCCAGCAAGCACAGGTGACCTGGCAAGGGGTGACCCAGGACGTCTCAGGTCGGTTTCTCCTCTTCCTGGGGAGCTGTGGGAGCAGAGAGAGGCCAGACTGAGTCTGGAGCTGCCCTGCATCCCTGTTCCAGGTGGGCAGGAGGAGGGGAGCACAGCCCCTGGGTCAGCAGAGCTGGCCATGAATATTCCCATGAATTTTGAGAGCTATCTTGAAACAGTGGCTGTCTCTTCCCACCCACCAGCCCTTTTGAAGGCCACTTCCAGGGCTGCCAGGACACACAGACACCCAGGCATGCCCAGAGCCTGCTCCAGATGGCATCTGGCACAGGGAGCAGGGTCACAGTGCTCCCTCCCCATGCAGGAATTGGCTCTTCCCCATGCCCAGGCATCTCCAAAACCCCTCATCCTGCTCCTGGCTCCAACACAGCAGCAATATAATCCAGTTAAAAACCTTCTCAGGGTTTAATCAACATTCCAGCTGTGCTCCCTCCTTCACTTCTGCCTTCCCAAAGCCCACCCCAGGCACTTGAGCCCCAGCTGCTTCCATACCTGTGTGAGCCAGAGGGCTCCTGGTGCTTCTCCTTGAAGCTGCTCTCTGCCTTCACCATGCTGTTACAGGGAGACCAGAAAGTCAGAGCAAACTCAGCCAAAGGGCTGTGTGGTGGAAAACAGGCTCTGAGGTGGTCAGTGGCCAAAGAAAGGTGGGGCTGGGGTATCTGCATGCCAGGTATCACTTCTCCCCAGCTCAGAGCCACCTTGGTACCTTTACAGGGCATGTGAGAGCTCATCCAAGGCAGGGACGGCTCTCCAGCTCCAGGGAAAGCCAGACTCCCAGGCAGAACATCAGCTGGTCTGTGCTCCTGGGGGCTGGGATGGATGCTGTGGATCGGGGGGCAGGCAGAGCCTTTCCTGGCAGATCCCCAGTGCTGTCACTCCTCTCTGACACTCCATCCCCACTCCCCAGTGCTGTAGCCACTCTTCCCTGGAGCCCAGCTGGCCTGGACAGCCCTGTGCCACCGTCCCACAGAGCTCAGCACAGGTCCCAGCAGGACACACCATCCTGGGGGAGGCCAGCAAGGAGCTGTCACCCACAGCAGCACAGCAGGGACATCAGGCTTCCCTCCTTCCTCCTCACAGGAGCTTCCTCTCTGCCACCAGTGGAAGGAAGCACAATGGGCACCATGAGCTGCAGCACGGATTGGATCTCTCCCAGTCTGCTGGGAAGGAGATACAGCTGTGGAAGGACCTGAATGGGTCCTTCTGTCCATGGAACAACCTTTCCTGGGGCTCCAGGCTCAACTCTGGGGCTTCTCCCACCTTCACCGAGTCTCACAGCTCCTCTGGCTGCCACTTCTGAACTGATGAGCACATTAGCAGTTAAGTCCATTTGCAGATTTAAAAGTCAAACCCTGCCACAGGAAATTAAAAGATAATGCAAAGAATTATTTTAAAAAATTAATCTTTATTACTCTCCACTCCCAAGCTGCTAATAAAAAAAAATGTGTTCCTCATGCAGTCTCTATAAAAACAGGTTATAAAGCAGAGGAAGAGAGGGAGGCAGATGCTTTAAAAAGGCATCTTTCATCCCTCCACCCTGCCTGCCATAACCATCCATCTGCACCTGTGTGTCAGCTCCCAGCCAGCCCCCTTCACCCTGCAAGGTAATTATTCCCCATTTCCATCTGGTCCCCCTTGTCCTCCCTGTTTTACCTCTCCAGGAGATCAGCAATCCCAGGTCCAGGAGGTGGTTTGATGGCACACCCTCCTTGCTCCAGGTATGCTGGAGCCCTGCATAAAGCAGGATGAATTACAGCTCATTACAGAAAGGGCAGCACTTGGGAAGTAAACAAGGCAGCTGTTACAGACGCCAGCAACAGCTCCACAACACCAGAGCAGGGCTGACACATGCAGGGAGCCATCCTGAGAGAGAGGTCAAGGATGCTCAGCAGCTCTCAGGAACCAGTGAAGAGGCTGAGAGGGAGATGGCAATTGCAAGGGTTTCTTCTGAAAATGTTTCTCTCTAAGGCTGTGCTAAGGAAAGCAGCTCAGTCCTTGGTTCCCTAGCTGGAGCTGGAGCCCACGGAGTCAGACATGGGGCTGCAAACAACTTCTGTATCATGGTACCAGGAACAGCTCAGCCAGGTTTTGGTAGGTCCAAGAGCCACCACAACTGGGGAAGAGCACCCAATTTAGCATGTGATAGAGATGAAGAAGCAAGAGGCAGCAAACCCACCAGCTATGTCCGTGCTGCAGCAGAAGAAACAGCCCCAGGCACAGATCTGTGTCCCACCAGCCCTCTGGCCAGGAGAAGACCCAGCACCTCTGCTCCTGCCAAAGCACTGCCCCTGGGGCCTGTACAAACACAGCCAGACCAGGAAGGAGCAGGGGGCTTCACAGAAAGAGAGATTAGGGTATCACCCTGGTTTTGTAAGATTTTCTAAGCCTTCTGACATTGACATTCTTGTAGCGAACTTTCTCACACACTTTCTGTAAATAACGCATTGTTTTGCATTCTTTTAAGGAGGAGGAGAAAATTGATGGACTGTTAGTCTGTCCAGTGCCATTGGAGAGGTGGCACTGTCACCCTCCAATCCGCTGTCACTTTTGGAAATATATAAATGTTGGAGTTAGAAAATAAACTTCTCTTTTTTCTTCACCTTGAGAACAGTGGTGTGCGCTTGTGTTCCTTCATGCCCTATAGCGACGTGAGGGACCAAGAGCTGCTGCACTGCATGAAAGCTGCTCCATGCCCAGAGCTGGGGCAAGGAAGCCAGTCCTGAGCATGCCCATGGGAACTGCAAAGCCCAACTTCCCCATCCTCAGATGGGCACTGCAAGCACCAAGCCCACCCCCAGGCAGCACACAGTGAGTTAGGCAGCCCCACACCTTCTCCTCAGAGGGGATAAAGGGAGCATTTGGCCTTTTCTGGCTCCAGGAGGGGAAGATTTATCTGGAAATGAAGTGCTGGCAAGGAGCAGGCACCAGGGGTGGAGGAAGGAGCCCAAGCAGGCTGTAACACAACAAATGAGAAGCCCCTGGGGGGACAGTGCCTGCAGTGCTGCTGCCCTGGCCACCTGCAGTCCCCAGCACAGGCAGGACTCAGGGGACAGCACAGCACAGCCAGGTAGGAGGTGGCTTTCAGAGGGAAGGCTGACAATGACTGATGGTGCTGTGCTGTGCTCTCAGTGATGTAGAAAATTAGAGAGACATCTCTTCAGACAGCGACCCACGTGAGACACTGGCTGTGTCCATCTCCTGCACGCAGGTGCCTCTCTGGGCAGGCGGCTCTCCCCCCAGCCTGCAGCCTCATTATTCAGAGTGCTGAACTGGGAACAGCAATGCTGTTTCCTTCCTACTTCTTTCCTCCCCCCAAAACTACTGGATTGTGTTATTCCTGGGAGCATGTAAGGTGCTGGTTTCCTGGCTCAGCTACTTGAAGGAAAGTTTGATTCTCCTCAACTAGGAAAAAGTAGCCCTTCACTTTTTCCTTCTTCTCCTCAACCAAAGCTGGGAAAAGTCTTTATAAAATATAGGAGCCATTTTCTCAGATGGAAATAGCTTCTTTAAAAACAGTGAGTCATGCTCCACACTGAGATGGATCTGATAGCTGGTACTCAACTAATGTAGCCTGGTGCTATTGTCCTCCTGGCAGGATGGTCCCTTCTTGGCTTTCACTCCCTTTGCCATTTAACCAGTTCCTGGTTTAATATGGCTGCTTTTGTTCTTCTCCTTATTCTCTGCCAGGTGACAAAAGAGTTTTAAAACAGTCTTTAAGTGAGTTTTAAATAAATCCACATAAGCTTCCATATGAAATGATGAAGCCAGGGTCTAGGTCAGCATAGGCTGGTGTGTCTTCAGGAGAGGTGTCACACTCCAGACAGGACACCACAGGGCCCTTGACTTCAAACAGTGCTGTCCCTCATTAGCAGGCAACCAGTTTCTTTCCAGACAGACGCAACAACTGAGCTCACATTCCTTTAGTCCCAACGTTTCCATGCTGGTCTAGAAGTGGCAGAGGGACCTCTCTGACTGCTGCCCAAACAGTCCCAAACAGGCCCTTTCTTTAACCCCCCCAGAGCTCCAGTCACCTACAGCATTCCAGGCTCTTCCACTTGGCAAGCACGGCTAGAGGAGCCTGACCAAGAGGCTGCAACTGGGGACCACCACCTCTGGAAAGGGCAGGGAAATGGTAGAGTTTCCTCCACGACTCCAAAGTGAGCCCCTGGTTTCTCCTGCCAGTTCTCCAGCTTGGGACAGCTGGCCTTGCTGTCATGACAAAAGGGCAGGTTTCTTTTTGTTAGCTCTTGGGTATCTCATGAACAGCTTCAAATTCCCCTGCTTTGAGCCCATCCATCACCCAAAACTGGTGTCCAGGCTCCTGCACTGAGGAGCCCCTCCTAAGATGACAGCAGCTAAACTCAACCCTGCTTGTCTTCTTTGCTGGAAGGACAACGATGCCACCAGCTCTGCCAGCACTCTGAGCATCCCCTGGGTCACAGGGCACACAGGGCTGGCCACAAGCAGCCAACACCACGTTCAAGCCAAACTCCAGAAATCCCTACAGGAAGATGATTTGGAACCAGGCATTGCTCTTCCTCCCTCCCACACATCCACCACAGACTGACCCCAGCGCCTCCCACCAATTTTCCCAGTGGTAGTTAGTCATCTGCCCTTTGGAAATCCCTTCTGGGGGTGCAGAAAAAACCTCCACACATCCCCCCTTTCTCCATCTGTTAATGGCTTCCCTCCACCCAGGCTGAGCCTCCCCCAGCCTGAGCTAATGGGAGGAAATTAGCATTAAAATGATGGTTTGCTATTAGCGGTGCCTCAGCGCCCCATCACGCTCCAGGAACACCAAATGACAGCCTGTGATTTCCCCACCGCGGCGCACACGAGAAGCAGCACCGGCAGCCACAAGTGCAGAAGATACCCAAGGAAACTTTTCAGCTCATCTCTCCCGCCCCAGCAGCCCTTTTCCTTTCGCCATCCCCGCCGTGCTCATCCACGCTCAGGCAATCCCACAAACAGATGGCACCTGGGCAGGAGAGCAGACAAATTGGCTCTCACCTGCAGGAGCACCGAGAGCTTTCAAAGCTCGCTGGCCAAGAGCCCCGCGGGGTGGGAATGCTGCAGGGATCTGCCATCGGTGCCTTCCTCGTGGCTGCACAGCTCCTGCTCCCTCCTCGCCTGGATGCAGGTGTGCAGCTGGCTCCTCCTGGGAGCTGGGGGCAGGAGGAGGCTGCTGCTGAGTCCTGAGTGGAATGGAAGCAGCAGCTCAGGCTGAGCATCAATGGAGTGATGCTTTTCTCCGTGTCAGCACAGCGCTTTGGTTCGGTGGGCTCACAGCCTGGAGCGAGAGGGGTTTTGTGGGGCCCCACTGAACATCCATCTGCTTAGAGAAAAAATGAGCTCAGCTCAAGCTGCCTGCTCTCTCTTCCTGCCAAAGTGAGGGTCTGCCCTCCCAGGAATCTCCCCTCCTTGACCAGGTAGCTGTGGCAAGAGCGTGGATGGACAGACTCGTTTCATTTTCTGCCTGCCTGGCTCCTCTGACACGGGGGTGAGGGAAGCAGCTCCCACACCAGCCTGCACAAAGCCAAGGGGCAGGAGCAGCTCAGCAAACCCCTGGGTGTCAGGGCAGGCTGTCAGCTCCCTTTGGGCACCTGAGTGACCCTGCAGGTACACAGCATACAGACAAGAACTCCTTGCAGAGCCCCACAGGGAGCTCTTCTCCCTTCTCAAAAACTCCTCCTTGCAGAGCCCCACAGGGAGCTCTTCTCCCCTGCAGCAGGGAAAGGGGAAACAGAGAGGCTGGAATGTGTAGGAGCATCCGGGTGATTTCAGGGCATCCTATGTGGAGTTGTGCACCACTGCTGAAAAATTCCAAAGCTGAATTTTAAGCCCTTTAAGGGGCTTAGGTCAAAGTGGTGACCAGCAGCAGGACCCAAAGGAACAGCAAGAAGCTGTGTCAGGGGAGGTTTAGGGTGGGTGTTAGGAAAATGAACTTCACTCAGAGGGTGATTGGGCACTGGAACAGGCTCCCCAGGGCAGTGGTTGTAGCCACAAGCCTGCCAGAGCTCAAGGAGTGTTTGCACAATGCTCTCAGATACATGGTGGGATTGTTGGGGTGTCCTGTGCAGGGAGGGGAGTTAGACTTGATGATCCTTGTGGGTTCCTACTCAGGATATTCTATGATTCTACAAAACAATGCCCTTCCCTCTACCTCATCCTTCACTCTCTTTAAAAAGTACCTGGACCATGGAGTGTGCTCAAGCCCAGCCTGCCAAATGCATTGTCATGGGCCTAAGAGGTGGGATGCAAAAGGCAGAAAGAAAAGAATAGTAGTAAAAAGCAGGATTAAAAAGTTTTCCATTTCCCCAGCATTCCCATCAGCAGCTGAGATGGGAGCAAGGAGGACTCATCTGATGATGGATGAGAGAGAATTGATCCTTGGTAAGGCAGAGCAGGAGCTCCCAAAGGCGATTCTCACACCTCCTTGGGATAACAAAAGCAACCATGAGAGGCAGCAGAAGCTCTTCTTCCTGTTCTTCCTGTTTGGAATTCATCTCTGGCCTGTCAGGGGGGCCATGACCCAAGCACACATTTGTATATTCACTGAGCCGTACACCCGGCTCAGGCAGGCTCCTGACAGATGCAGATGGGAAAGCCATTTTTCATAAAGTGAGGGGGGAAAGAGAACAAGGAAAAAATAGCAAAACAAAAAAAGACTCAGGCATCAGATGGAAAAGATACAACAGGATCAGGGCTGAGGGAGAAGCAGAGTCAGATTAAACTTTTGGATCTTTAAGCACACTAAGAGGCCAGTCTCCTTCCTCTGTTTTCTACTGTGGCCTGGCAGCAGCAGGAACCTTCATCCTTTTCTCCATAACCAGCTGGAAAGTGAAAGCTGGACCCAGAACAACACCAAGGCTTTGCTGAACTGGCTCTTGGGGACAGATGCTGCAGCAGCTGGGCACAGGCACCTTTCCACATGATCAGCTCCAGCTCAGAGGAGGTGAGAGGCAGCCTGCAGAGAACATGAACCATTGACATGTAAGGCTGCCCCTCAGACCCAGACCTAGCTTAGGCCTGGCCCTGAAGAGCATAGGGGGGCTCTGAAGGGACATCCCTGGCAGACCTCCAGTGGTACAAGCCTGCCAGCATGGCAGAGGAGCACATGATGGCAAACAGTGCAGCTCCCAATGTCCCCAGTTTGTTTCAGGCAGTGATGAGGGGTTTCCCTCTGTCCCAGGTCACTGTGCAGCCAAGGGGCAGCAGAGACAGGGAGCCACTGACCCAGAGAGCAGGAAGAGCTGCTCAGAACAGTAAATTCTGTCTCCTGAGCAGCGTGAGGGCCTGCCCTGCTCAGCACCAGCAGTCAGCAGGGCCCAACACAAGCCAAGGGGAAGGGGAAAGGGAAGGGAGAATTACCCTGATGGAGGGAAAGATTTCACCTTTGCCAGTGACATTCTGCTGTTGTCACCGCCAGCCATAACATCACGCTCTTGATGTGAAATCTAAGCTGACAGTGATACAGGAAAGGAGCTGAGAGGGCAGCAAACCCTGCCCAGCCCTCTCTGTAACCCCAAATCTCCTGTGGCTCCCAGCCTCTGCATGGAGCACAGCCAGCACTCATTACCAGGTTACTAAACAAGTGGATACTCCTTTTCCACAGCCATGGAATTATATTTTCTTGCACTTATCCATCCTTCTGGACAACTCTGAGGAGGATTTCATTTTGGTCTCTGCTGCATCCTCTTTGTTTCTGAAATGAGGAACAGATGTAGGAGCCCACAAGTCCTTTGCAAAACAACACATGCAGCCATAAGCTGGAGTCACCAAAGCCTGAAGAGCTCCAGGTGCTTTCAGACTCACTGGAGGTGCACTGAGCCCCACTGATCCCTGCTGCCTGTGGCATTTCCAGCTGATATTCATTCCCTTTGTCCCAGGAAAAGGCAAGCACAGGGCTGGGCAGCAAGGCTTGGTGAAGGTTACTGCTGAGACCTGGTAGAAATGTCATCCAGCAACACGTTTCAAGAAAGATTCATCCCCAAGCAGCCTGGCTCCATAATAAAAGTGTCAGAGCAGCTGACTTGCTTCCCCCCGTTCTCATTGCATACAGATTTATCCTGTCTCAGGTCTCTCTCCCTCCATAAGCCAGCACGTGCCTTTCCTTTCAATAGGCTGGCAGTGAGACCCAGTCAGCTGAGATTGTAAGGGAAAAGGGAATACAAGAAAGGTGAAGGCATCATAGGGAGAAAAATGCTCTGAGGCCATGTTTTCCTCTCAGTTCTGAAATGGAGGAGGGTGACATGAGAGGTAACTTAACAAGAGAATGCTCCAGAATTACAGCAGCCATTTGTTCTGATGCTCCAAACCAATTCCCCAGCTGCCAGCCTGTGTCACCTCCCTCTCAGGCAGCTCAAATCCCATTCCTGATAAAACCCATCCCAAAAGGCTTAAATACCTCTGAGCCTTCACTCTCCCAGCCAGGGAGCTCCTTCTCAGAGGGCTGTGCATGTGGTGGGCGCCCAGGGAGAGTGAGATAAGAGATGGGGCTCCCTCTGAGTCCATGTCTCAGGGAGCACTGAGGACCAGCCTACCTTCACCACAGAGATGTGATGTCAATGCAGCACCACAGGCAGCCCCTGAGAGAAAACAGACAACAGGGAATTTAAAAAAAAAAAAAAAAAAGGATAAAAAGAGATATTAATGGTCCTTTGCAAGCAACTAAAAATACCCAGGATGGCCAGAGTTTCTTTTGGATTTTTTCTTTTCCTCCCCCAACTTACGCCCAAAGGAATGTGCCACGCAAATTAAAATGATTTCCTGCAACCTGCAAGATAGGAGCAGGCAAGGCATCCTTCAGCTGTGAGTGAAAGAGATGGAGCCTGCCTTTGTCAGGAGCATGCCAGCCCCGGGGAGCTGAGGTGGTGGGGGATGGCAGCCAGGGCTGCAGGGATCCTGCTGGATAATTCCCATTAACTGGGACAGACAGCCCTGTGCCAGGCACCCAGCTGGGGGCCAGGGGGTGTTTCCTCAACATCTACAGCACAAGTGAATCCTGGGCACCTCAGCTGCCTTGGGGGGGTGCAGAGTAAGAGCAAAGAGCTGTGGAGCAGCTTGCCATGGAGCAGAGAAAGCCTCTACTACCACCAAGGCAGTCCTGTTAAATTTGCAAAACACATTGCAGGAGGCACAGGCTGTGATGCCTCCTGGCCCCATGGACATTGTGACTCAAGGACATTGATTTTCTGGCCCACACCCACTCAGGTGTGTGCCCTAGCACATGTTTTCTCCTCTCAGTTAGGAGAGACAGTTTATTCCTAGCAGTGAGAGCTCATAGGCAAGAGGAAAACCAAGATCACCCCCAGCAGATATAAAATCAGTGCTTTGCTGTGTCCCAGCTGTTGCTCACATCTGGCTGCAGACAGCACTCAGAGCCCTGTGCTGGCCCAGCCCCTCAACCAGCACTCCCTGTTAGCACCAGGCAGGCCAGAGGTCTGGCAGCTGAGGTGAAGGGCCACTTCATCTCCATCATGTTCTCCTCTGCTAATGAAAATGTTGCTCCAGCGTGTCCTCGGGAAGGCTTCCTTCAGCCCCAGCCCTGGTGTGATTGAAGGCTAATCTCTGTTACTCTTGGCTGAATGGCAGCCCACGAGGAAGGTGATGAATTGTGTTTCCCTTCAACTCGACATTTAATGGTGCTGGCAGAAGAAGAAAAAGCACCAGATGTTTCTGGGCTGAAAGTGAACTCCTCCCAACACACTGAGAGGTCAGGGGGCCTCACATGGCCTGGCACCCTTTAAATTGCAGCCTGCTTTGAAAGGCCACTTGGCTTGCCAACCTCCTTCCTCCCTTTCCAGAGGCAATCCAGCTGACAGCAGTGGCCGCAGGAGGCAGCATGTCCTGTGCCACCTCGTGGGACATGCCTGGCCTCCAGTGAGCTCCCCATCATCACTCTGCTCAGCACAGGGCTCTGGGAGAGGGGCCAAGGTCTGGAGTGCAGAATTTTTGGGAGGAAAGGCTCAACACTTACAGGTCTCTCTGGCTGGCTCCAGACTTGGTCACCGAAAAATATCCCATCTTGAGGCTTCAATCTGTGATGTTAGCTTTCTTTTAAAATGCTTGGAGACCTCCTGATTAAAAAAAAAAAAATAGAGAAAAAATCAGGATTACAATCCTCTTGCTGCTCACACTCAAGGAGACACCTAGCTCCACAATACACTTCCTCCTCTGCTCCACAGCTCTGCAAACACATTCCAGACCATCCCCACCACCTGCTGCTCTCCTGCTGTTTCTCCCCTCACTGGAACCACTCAATTATCACTCATGGCACTCTGCCCCCTCTATCTGCAAAGCTTTGCAGCTTTTCTCCTCCGTTTTTGCCCCTATAAAACCACTACCAGCATTTGTTGAGGACACCCAAACACAACACGTTATCCCCTGTTTGCTTTCCCTTCTCTCAATAGCACTGCTTGTGGGGTGTTTACCATGGACCACACAAAATGCATTCCCCAAGAGCTAAACCTGGAGGAGGAGAAGGAGAAATTAAGAAAACACACAGGATGAAAAAGTAAAACCTTCCAATTACAGGCAATTATTTCTACTTGATCACCCACTGTGCACTGTGCCCCAGACACAAATCACTCTTGGCAGGGTGGCACAGCTCATACCTGCACACACAGTGCACAGGTGAGCACACAGGCTGTTTGCTGAGGGTGTTCCAACCTATTTGGGCACCAGTTTGGGCTCAGCTGGCTCCAGCCTTTCTGAGGGTCCCATATACACCAGTCACACAGAATCACACAGAATAATGAGGTTGGAAGAGACCTCTAAGATCATCAAGTCCGACCTATGCCCTCACACCTCAATTAGCCTATAGCACTGTTAAGAAAATTAATCCACAAACACCAGAGGTTTATGTCCAGAAAGGAGATGGAGGAGTCCTTTCTGGCTTTATTGGAATAAAGGGAGAGGCCATGGGGCATTCCCCTGGGGTCTCTCCAATTTTTGGAGGATGCAGCCTCCTTTTTACCCCAATTTCCCTTCTCTCTTTCCCCAGTGGCTGAAGTACTTGAGAGGTTCAGACTTCCCAGAATGCCCGATACCAAAGATTTCCCTCTGATGTATAACCCTCCCTTTTCATTTTTAATTCTTGTGGAATTTAGGGGGTTTTCTTCCCCATTGTTTCTTTCATGTCTCAATGTCTAATTTCATTTTATCAGCAAACCTAAAGTTTATTTGTAAAAGCAATTATATTTTTCCATTCATCAATCAGGGGAATCCTTCCCATTGTTTCTTTTATCCCCCAGTGCTGGTTTTATCTACCAGCAGACCCACAGCTTGTTTGTAAAGAAAGATCTGCTATTCCTCTCAGCACCAAGTGCCATATCCAGTCTTTTTTAAACACATCCAGAGATGGTGATTCTACCACCTCCCTGGGAAGAACATTCCAGTACTTTATTACTCTTTCCATGAAAAACTTTTTCCTAATATCCAACCTATCCCTTCCCTGATGTAGCTTGAGACTGTGCCCTCTGGTTCTGTCAGTGCTGCCCGGAGAAAGAGACCAACCCCAGCTGTCACAGACATCTTTTATGAAAAATCCTTTCCTTAGGATTTTTCCTCCTGAGAAGCTGAGAGGCCTCAGGAACAAAATGCAAACAATGATTATCTGCTGCTGTGGAATGCAACAGGTGCATCTGTGATTGGCCTATGTTGGATGTTTGTAATTAATGGCCAATCACAGCCCAGCTGGCTCGGACAGCGAGTCCAAGCCACAAACCTTTGTTATCATTCCTTCCTATTCTATTCTTAGCTAGGCTTCTGAGGAAATCCTTTCTTCTATTCTTTTAGTATAGTTTTAATGTAATATATATCATAATATAATAAATCAAACCTTCTGAAACATGGAGTCAGATCCTCATCTCTTCCTTCATCCTAAGACCCCTGTGAACACCGTCACAGCCACCTGGCTACAGCCTCCCTTCAGGAAGGTGCACAGAGCAATAAGGTCACCTTCTGAGCCTCCTCTTCTCCCGGTTAAACAACCCCAGCTCCTTCAAACATTCCTCAAAACCCAGAGGTGATGCTCTCCTCTGCTCCCACAGGCCATGGCCCAAGCCCTGGAGCAGAGGCCTCTCTCATGGCAGGCCTTGCTTGGAGCAGAGGCCTGCCATGAGAGACTGCCCAAGGGATGTCCATCCTCATTCCCAGCCTCACCTGCCTGGGCTCTCTGGCAGATTTTCCTTCCCAGGAGGCATGGCAGCTACAGAGAGCAGCTGCAGGCAGCACAGCTCTGCCAGAGCTCCTTCCCCAGCACGGAGGACACGCTTTGCTCCCAGCCAGCGGGAAGGCACAGGCACCCAGCAGTGGGAGAGGCACTCAGCCAGCCACTAATGCTTCCCACTGTCTTGGAGCAAAGGGATGGATTAGCTTTTATTAGCTCTCATGAAGAGCACATCACTCCTGCCCTTTCCTCCTCTCACCAGGCTCACACACAGCCTCAGCTGTGCTGCAAGTGAAGCAGAACCAACTCACCTACGTGCTGGTGGCCCCAGACTCCTCTTGGGTCTCATATAAATCTTACAGATCTTAAATCTTAGGCAAGCTGGGAGTTAGGATGGAGCAATCCTCCAAAGGGTGCTGCCCTGAAGTACTTTAAAAAAGATGGATGCTTGGCTTTTACATCTGGATCTCCCAGTTGGCACCTTGGCTTTTACATCTAGATCTCCCCGTTGGCACCACGCAGGGCCTGAAGGAGGGCACAGTGTCCATGCCAGCCAAACCAAAGCCAAGGCACAGTCCCCAGAGCAGAGATTCAAACCTGGGGCTGTTGTTTGAGAGCTGCTCCGTGGTTTTCCTTTTGAGCCCTCCTGCCCCATGCAGAACCCCTGCCCGCAGCACCCAACCAGCAGCAGGGCTGAGGGATGCTGCTGCTCCAGAGCAGTCTCTCTAAAGCCGCTCTGGGGCTTGTTAGCAGGGTGATAAAGGGGATGAATGGCCTCGGAGAAACGCTCTGTCTCCTGCTGCGGCATTCATTATCCTTTAGCCAGGCAATTCCTCACAGCAGCCAGGAGCTCGGGGCTGGCTCGTTCATCCTCTGCGGGGGCTGCTTCCCATCGGGGCCCTGCTGCTCGCCCCAGGCAGCACAACGTGCTCGGTGCTCATCACCTTCCTCCCACACCGCCCAATTGCTCTCCCGAGCTCCAGCCCCGTGAGCCGAGGCACCACAGCTGCCCCCGTGCCCGGATCTGCGCATTTCCAGCCCCGTTTCCCGAGGAATGCAGGGCATATGCGATCCTGCTGCATCCATCTGTCCTCTGCCCACTCCCCAGCAACTCCTGACACTGCAAACAGATTTCGAGCTGATGTGACAGAGCAATGGAGGTCTTGGAGACAGTCAGAGTCTATAAATTTCGTGGGAACAGACTACCAAACAGAGGAGAGACATTATTAGCACCATCCAAACTGAAGTGTATCATCCCTTATTAGACATCAGACAATTTGTGTGGGAGAAATGCCGTAAATATCCCAGGGAAGGGAGATGCTCCATTCAGCACAAATAACTTACTGGACAGCAGAGACTCCAATCCCAAAGGGTACATCCAGAGGAGATGAGCTTTTATGGATCCCACTACACACTGTACCAACAGCAGAAGGTTCCAGGCCTGTTTGGCTGACAGGAGATCTAACCAGCTAAGATGGCATGTGAGCCTTTGGAAAGCCCATGGAAATGCAATGTGTGCCCTTCCCTTCTCCTTCCAGAGACCAAGCTGAATCCTTCTGCATTTCCAGCCTTAATTACCATCCTTAATTACCCTCCCAGACCCATGGATGAGTTCAGCTGCTGCCTAAAAGGAAGTGTCATGCCCAGCTCCAAGGCGGAGAACTGATGGGCTGAGCAGCTCCCTCACCCCCACAGCTCTCCCATTGCCTCTCCACTGCATGGACAGAGATTTCACCTTCCAGAAGGGTGTTTCACCCTCAGACTGCTGCCAGGAGATGCCAGGAAGGCAGCCCAGAGTCGGAGCAGTACCTGCTGAGCTCTCAGCAGGATCACTTACTCATCAAGCTGTTGACTGATGGGTGGCACTTGAGAGGGAGCCCGTTCCTCCACACTCAGGTAAATCCTTGCTGCCCACCAGCTCCAGCACAGGGCTGGCAGGCAGCAGCATGGATGTCCTTCTTCCAGGAGCAAAGAGTGAGCTTCAGAAACCTTTGTCCTTCCTTTTGAAGGGGATACAGCAGCCTCCTGGCTCTCCCTCAGAGTTAATTAATGTTCTCACATCCCCAGTGTGACACAGCCCTTCTCAGGCTGAGCCCAGCATTTCAGAGCTGTCTGATGCCCCTGTTACAAAGCCAAAGCCTGTGTGCAGTTAGGGGATAGAGCAGGGTGATCCCTGTGCTCATTTAGGATCTGCACTGGTAACCCAGTCCTTACCTGTTCTGAGTGTCATTTCCAGCCTCAGGCATTCCAGAGCCCTGGCAGAAACTGAGAAGTGAGAAATAACCTTTTTCCCTCCAGCTCATTCGTGACACTCTCCCAGCTGGCCAGACACATTTTGGGACTTCTCTGATTCACCTGGTAAAGGTCAAATCCCAGGAGGCGCCTTCAGCCTGGTGGATCACGTATCACTTGTACCTGTGGGGCTTCAGCTCCACAAAAACACAATTTAAACATGTGCTACACAACATCCTTTCCTCAAAAAAAAAAAAAAAGGAGATTTACACTCCAGGCATGGTGACTCCCTGTTCTGCCCAACAAAAGGAGGTAGGGGGACTGAATTCAAGCTTGTGCTCATTAAAATAGAAGGGGAAAAAAAAAGAAAACCCAGAAATCCAGTCACTCTATCCTAATTGTTCTGATCCAGCCTTTCAGAGTGTGGCACTGAGCTGAAGGGCCGCACCTGAAAGTGTGCCAAGAGCGGCATGAAATGTTAATGTTGCAATTAAAACAATATGAATATTGCAGCACTGCTCTGCTGCTTCCCATCCACTGAACAATTCTCATTCAATAGAAGTCAAGTTACATTTCAGGAAATAATGAGGTCTGCTAATTAAGTCTGGCCTAGGAAGACAGCAGTCTTAAAAAGAGAAAAAAAAATATTCAGATCTCCCCAAAATGTGTACATTT